TTATACTGTACAAACTGTATTTTCTATCGCCCTAAACCTACCCCTCACAGGAAACTTTCTGAATTTTTTTTATTTTCAAAAAACTTTTCCTCATGGGGACCTAAAAATTTCCCAACAGGGTCAAAATTTACTGGTATTACTATCCATTTAGTCCCCATAACGTTATAAATACCAGGTACACACACACACAATCTGGTATCAAGGAGACCTAGCCTAATTCAAGCTCTCTGTAGTTTATGCCATCATTTCAGCAAACAGATCAGCAGCACCAGCTCATATTCAAAAAGTGATGTTATTTTTTGAAGTTTTCACTTTTTGTTTATTTCTAAATTTGATTATGGAAACCGCTGTTATCGAGTTCTTGTTTTTTATGTTTATAGCATATGATATACAGTAGTTATTTCCGAATATCATCAATATTTTGAAATATAAAGATTTTATACAACAGTTCAATGAACAACATGTCAGCATTGTCTGTTCTTGCTCTGTTTCACCAGACAAATCCACAACAGAACAGAAGTGTTTCGTTATTGAGTGAATCAACATTTTTAAACGCAATGGTGAAATGAATGATCAAATTACTCACTCATAAATGCAGTCACTTGTTTCATTCCTGAATGAATCAGTTATTTGATCTATTCACTACCTATGTGTTTTTCAGGGCTGATACCGATTATTACAGATCAAGTGGACCGATAACTGATATATATGTCTGGTGTAAAAATGAAAATTTATTTCAAAATTAAGAATAACAAGAGCTCTGACAAAAACTGTCTTTAAATGCTTTTTAATTATTTTATCGGCAAATCGGTTTGGAAAATTACTGATACGATAACCATAAAAATGCTTAATATCGGTACCGATAATTGGTCTACCCCTAATTTAAACAAATCGGTTGAATGAATGGCCCACTGACTTGCCACCACATACTGGTGTTTTTATTTTTATTTTCCTCATTTCATATTTCTGTATTCAAAATTTAATATTTAAATCATAACACTATTTATGCACTTTACATCTGTATATACCGTTTTAATTCATTAATTTAATTTAATTCATTTTGAAAATATTTATTTACTGATGAAATGTAAGAATTCAAAATAAAAGATTACTCATACATTTAATAAGGTTAGAATAAATGCCCTTATAAAGGTAAAAATTCCCCTAGAAGTCAGTTTCAGGGAACAAATATAGCTCCTTGATAGAAAAATTTAATTCTGTCTCTGAAGTACATGTATATTTATTACATAAACTTATTACGTCAAATTTATTACTAAAAATGCTAAATTTTCTTTGCATCTGTTGTAGTAAATACATTAAAGAAGGTTGTTCTGTATCTTCAGAACATGTGATTGGACTTAGATGTAGCAAACCACTGAATAAACACTCTTCCTAAATAATCCTCTGAACCGGCTAGAAAAAGAGCAACTCTACTGACCTTTATTCTACACACACACATACATAAACATAAGAAGATTTTGCACTCTTTATGCATGTATAAATCTCGGTCTCTTTCTTTCAGATGTTCACTCAGAAGCTGTTCAGGCTGCACTGGAGCGACACAGTGAGAGAAAGATGGCTGTGCTGTTGCCATCCAAGCGGCAGTCACTCATTGGTCAAACCTCCATGGACACGTACACACCTCCAGGTGTGTGTGTGTATGTGCATATGTTTGTGTGTAAGAGCGAGTGAGTAAGTGTGTGAGTGTGTGACTGTTCTCTCTGTGTCTCTGCAGACTCGTCCTCCGGCTCTGATGCTGAGGGGTCTCTGGGGAGGGCGGGAGGTGTCAGCATGGACTCCTGGATCAGCAGAGCTCTCCATGGCTCACCTTCAACATCATCGTCATCATCGTCACACAGCAACAGCTCTGCTAATGCAGCCCGACTCGCAGAGACTAACATGCACTCATACAGCAGTAAGAACTCAAGCAAATATTCACAAGGCAGCGAATAAACACAGATACTGTGAATCACTCATGTTATAAATTTGTCTTTAGGTCACTATCAATCAACTCAGATTTTGCTTTCAATATTGCAGTAAGCGAAGGAAAAACAAGCCTCTCACGTTTAATTCACTTCATATGAAATAAGTATTTTGGGCCTTTTTTAAACCTCCCTTATCAAGATCATCTAATTTTAGCACATCGCGGTTACACTTTACTTGAAGGGGTGTGCATAAGACTGACATGAC